CAGGTGGAGAAAGTGATGCCTGCAGACACATTCTACTTTTCTATCATCAGGGATCCTGTCGCGCTGGCGGAGTCCTCTTTTGCTTATTACAAAGAAGTAGCTCCTGCCTTTCGGAAGGCAAAAGGGCTGGGCGACTTTGTCGACGACCCAAATAAATACTATGACCCTCGTCTTCGCAACAACCACTATGCCCGCAACCTGCTGTGGTTTGATTTTGGCATGGACAATAATGCTAATTTCTCAGTGGAATTAGCTCAGCATGGTGAGGCCACGATCCGCCAGACATTCAGACTGATTCTTGTGTCCGAGTACTTTGACCAGTCTATGATCCTGCTGAGACATGCCCTCTGCTGGCCACTGGATGCTGTAGTCTCATTTAGCCTTAACGCTCGGCAGCAAAAGCCCAGCAGCAACAGCGTAATGAGCGGAAGCTGGGTCGGCAAAGCTGCCGTAGCGGCTGGCGTCGGTGCTAGAGCTGGACGCTCACAAGGCAAGATGTTGCCCAATCTGTCGCTAACGGATCATCAGCGGGAGAAGCTACGCCAGTGGAACGCCTTAGATTGGTACCTATACAAAGCCTTCAACCGCACGTTCTGGGAGGATATCGACAAGTTTGGTCGTGCCCAGATGGAGCGGGAAGTAGCTCTTCTCAGGATGCGGCGGGAAATCCTGGGCCGGGTTTGTCTGAAGGATGGTGGAAAGCCCGTAGAAGCGTACCGGATACGAGACAAAAATATCCGACCCTTTCAGAGCGGAGTAGTAAAGATTCTTGGATACGAGCTCCAGCCGGGTCTCGACAATGCTACCAGGACGGCCTGTCTGAGGATGATTAGGCCCGAGATCCAATACAAAGATCTGCTGGATAGTAAACAGTTCCCACGGGCTGTCCAACCCCAGCTGGGACAGCAGGGACAGCTAGCAGCTGGTGGTGCTTTTGTAAGACATGATTCATCTAGGACAGGAGAGAAAATGATGATGGGAGAAGCTGAGATGGAAAGAGAAAGAGACTGGGATGGAAGCCGTATAATGAAGAGTAACCAGACTTTAAAAGGAGTGCGAGAAAAAGAAAGATTGAGATAGTTTAAGGTGAGTTACATGTTACCTTTGATTTGTGAGGGGAAACGGACCAGAGACGCCTGAGCCAAATTTAGTTTACATGTGAGAAAGAAACAAGCTTCTCTGCAGCACTTCCAGTTTTCTCTCTTTTCCTGAACACACTCTCTGGTTTGGTATGTTTTCATCTTTGGCAATTACTCCCAGTGACAGTCTATTTTATTATTGGAACTGCATTTTCTTATTGTGTTGATGCTTAAATGAAATGAAAGTTACAAGCTGTCCCAAGGTTACAGAGGAGGGGTACACCGCTCGGGCCTTGTGGCTGATGCGACACAGGCGGGAGTTTGTGAAAATAAAAACATGAAGACAGTCTCGCTGGACAGAGCACTGCAGAAAACCAAGACAGTTTAGGTTTGTTGTTGCATTAACAGCTGTTATTGATTTCATCAGACAAATGATCGCTTCCTTGCTCAAATCTTTTTTTGTATTTTAACATACAGACTGTTTTTTTACATAAGCTTGCCTTTAAACGCGGCTCAGAGACAGCAAATCTCATCTATAGGAGAAG